TAGGTGAGCTAAAAACTACGAGCAAAACTCGACCGAGCTACCACGACCAAAATCCAAAACCCTCTCTGATGCCACCCCATTCCCGTTTTCTATTTCGTGTGATTTTTTTACCATTGTGTTCTCTATCCTTTTCTGGTGTAAGTTAGTCGAAAGGAACCTCGGCAGCGAAGGAGGACCGGTAGAGTTGTCGCAGCAGGAGACCTTCCGTCGGTAAAATTTTGATTTTTGCATTTTTCAACAACGGAGGCCTCCTAACTTGGTTTTTTGCAAGTTTATGTGCAAAACCGATCCAAATCGGCCAACCTGAGGTGGACCACCGTTATGCATGGTGAAGCCGACGCTGGAGCATAGTGGTGGCGCCATGCTGGAACCCTAAAGTCTGTCGAAAAGGTTTTAAAACGCCTATTTTGACTTTTTAGAGATTTTTGAATACGTGACGGATGTTTTAATTTTTGCATAAAAAATTCAGCAAATCTGGGGACCATCATGAAGCGCAATGAAAAGTACAGTATTTTAGACACCAATTCGAAGTAAGAATTTCTCACCATTTTTCCTGTTACGGTAAATTGAAACTTAATAATCAATAATGCTGTATTTTATAAAAATTAAAAAATTTTAAAATTAATTATAGGTCACTAGTGGAGTCGGAACTGGTCAGTGCATATTTATCTTAGTTTACTGCTTATTTTCTCTTACATTGCTTAAAATATTTACTATTATATTTTGTGCGTTAAATTGTTAGTTTTAATTGTTTTCTCAGTTATTTAGTTGACCTAACTGCATAGCCTTCATTTGTTGGTTTTTTTTGGCAATAAATGTCTCAGTTATGTTTTTTTTATTTACGTACCTTCTCTTTGTATAACTGATTGTTGATTTGTAAATATGAGATATTGATATATAATTGATGATTGATTAATGTTGTGAATTTATCTATAAAAGGCTTACTGAGTACCCTAGAAAAGGGTGGACGGACTGAGTACATAGGAAAAATTCTACTATACACATTATTTCAGTTAGATAGGATTGAGAAATCTCATATTGGAAGGATTTGGGAGATATAGTTCACCCTCATACCGGACAGGGTATGGAGACGATGGTAAGTTTGGTTTCATTACCGGATCAAGTACTACGGTC